CTGAATAAAATTTTAGTTTTAATTATGATTTAAGTTTGTTCTATTCAAATGGTTTATACTAGAAAACTAATTCCTTATGCTGTGTTCAAACTAATTTCTAATCAGCCAGAAAAGAAAAATGAGCAGTTCAATCATTCCAATCATGCATTTCCTTGAACAACCAATCAGAAATGAAGCATACAACTAATTTCCACAGCAATTCAGAAACATTCAATCAAAAAAAATGCATGATATTTTTGATGCAGCATAATAGAAAGAAAAAATCTTGGCATCAACAAAGCAAACAAGTTCCAGTTCAGCAGAAAAAAAAAAAGAAAAACACAGGAGGAAAGGTAAAAACAAAGCAAAAAAAAAAAAGTTACAATGACAAACACAATTCAGACAGATAGAGAAAAAAGATATACTCAGTAAAAATAAAGCTTACACTTAGTTCAAATAAAAACATAGACCAAATTGAAAAAACATATACTCAGTCCATAGAAAAGTATATAATCGGTCAAAAGTAAAACATAGACCAATTTCAGAAAATTACTCTAGATTGTCACTTGAGGTTTAACATACTAAGTTTTTGTCATTTACCATAACATAATCAATCATTCAGTCATTCAATCATATACCAACAGTATCACATAAAACTCTTTGGTTTTATCACTCAGTTTTAACATAATCATTCAATCATTCAAATAAATCTACAGTCAGTATTAACACAGTGTTTTTCATAGGACCAAAACTCTTCATAGAACATTCATAAAATCAGACAGTAAATCAAAATTGATCAGTTTAAGTAAAAAATCTGCAAATGCATTAAACATTTTTTAAGTCATTAAATCTATATAATTAACAAAATAGAAAATAATGGTATAAATAACACAAAATCAATCCATTACATACATTGAAGTCAAAATCTGCTAATGCATTAAATTGATTTTCATTTAAGTCATTAAATCTATATAATTAGCAAAATGGCAAATAACTAATGGCAATAATAACACAAAATCAATTTGGCATAATTCATGCTATAAAACTGATCATTTGTTGACTAACATTAACTAAAACAACTAATCCGGCTGCAGAATATGTTCATTAGGAAAAATATATCATACCAATCAGCATCTATTACATTAATAACTCATAAAAATTCATTTTATCCAGTTTAATTTTTCTATATAAACCCCTTAATGAATAATTCATTCTAAGTTCCCCTAAACATACATCCTATTGTCTTTCACTTTAGTCCAATCTTTCTATCAATCTGTTCTATGCCATTATACCACCAGATACAGTTTTTTTAATCACATGAGATGTGTTCAGCTTCCCTAAACATACATCCTATTCAGTTTTTTAAACCAATCTTTCTATCAATCTGTTTTACAGCACAGTCAGAATAATCACATGAAATATATTCAGTTTCCCTAAACATACATCATATTCAGTTTTTTAATCCCAAAATCACAATATCATGAAGAGGTTGACAGACTACAACATCATTGGAAACAAATGTCAGAAAGAAGATGTTTCTCCACAATTTGGTACACAATGACATTTGTGTCCTATGTTTATTATGAAATATATCCAAAAGATTACCTTCTTTTGCTCTTACCTTGTATTGAAAATGTAAATTTGTTTTGATATGAAATTGCACAGCCCCTTGCAAGTAGTTTAGTTATAACAGATGGTTTTATCTGCAAAACAACATTGAGAAAATTTGATTATGTCATTTATCATTAGAAATATGAGCAATATTTGAAAAAAAGATAGGCTATAAGACACTTATCTCTGAATGTCTTTCATTCTCATGTTGACTGTTACTTATTCCCATTACAACTGATGATGTCTGTATGGAAAAACATAATAACAAATGTTAGAACATATCATATATGGCCAGTGGTATAAAAAATATTTCAGTAGGAGATGCTAAAATGAAACTTATCTCTTCTGTTTAGAATCTGATGTCTGTTATTCAATTGATTATACCTGCAAAAGATTAGAACATCAGTTAGACATCTTTTGTATGCGAAAAACTTAGATAAGAACAGCTCTTAAACACAAGAATGTGAAGAACTTGGATAATACCTTAGTTTTCTTTCTCGCAGTTCAAAACTGAGTAGCACAAGTTGAAAAATCACAAGAAATTTAAACATAACATAAAAAACGGCTTTATTCACATAAAAATAACGTAAAAACTGTATATCACTTTGCAGATCTATTATAAAAATTGAAAAAGAAAAAGAATTTAAATTTAAATAAACATATTATAACTACAGATTAACGCTATACCTAACGGAACATAATATAAAAATTAAAAATTAAATAAAACAGATAAACTAGAGATCGAGGATAGCCCTGATGCGAATAACATAATATAAAGATTATAAATTTAATAAACACGAAAAAACTAAAGTAAAGGAGTAATCTGTTTCCTAATTACGATTTAAATACAAGAAAAATGTTTAAAAAAATTTAATAAAATCGGAAATTTGTATATCAGCCAGATCTATAACGTAATGTACCCAAAGCACTAGATATCTGCATAGATCTGTTATGCCAGCCCGATTTTAACACAAAAAATGTTTAAAACAAAAAAGATTGACAAAAAAACAAGTAGATCTGCAAAGATTATCATGTAATCGCCCGATTTGTACCGATATACAATGAATCTGTATATCGGATTTTCAAAATCGGGACTCTTTCACTTTTTCGTCCCTCTGATCATTCGAAAAAATGAAAAATTATGTGTTTTTTCGGTATCGGATTTCAAAATCAGAAAATAATTGCCGGAGATCTGCAAAACAATGTTCAAAACAATAAAAAATTGACAAAAATTCATTCGATCTGCAAAGAATATAATGTAATCGACCGATTTGTACCGATATACTATGAATTAGTATATCAGATTTTCAAAATCGGGACGATTTCACTATTTCATCTCTCTTTTCTTTCTAAAAAGTTGAAATCTCAGGTGTTTTTTCGGTCTCTGATCAAAATCAGAAAAGACTCGCCGGAGAAACATCGGATTTGGCCAAATTAATGGCGAAAATTAATCCAACATGAATTTAGAGAGAATAGAGAGAGAGAGAGAGAGAGAGAGAGAGAGAGAGAGAGAGAGAGAGAGAGAGAGAAACGGTCGACAGAAGTTAAAGGAGGCGACAGAAATGGCGTAAAGGAAGATCAGGTAGGGTTTGGTCTATTTAAACCGCGTCGCCACATGTCTGGGACACGCGTCGCGTACACGTTCAGCATGCCACGCGAAATCCCGAATTTGCCCTTAAAAATGCCACTGAAATTGGGTTCTAAAATTCTGGCCCAGTAAGATACAATAATGCTATGTGGGCTTCATAAATACAGGCCCAATCTTATTTTATTTTGGCCCAATAATGATTATATATGAATAACTCAATTAGTTTGTTATTTAAAAATGAATGCTAATATTTAATAAATATAATACTTAAAATATTTTAATACAATATATAAAAAAAAAATATATGATACAAAATGGACCTAATTTATTTATAGTACAAAAAATAAGAAACATCTTATTATTTGTATAGATTTGGTTGAATATTATATTTTTTTTTTAGGTGTTCCAGCCGCACATTCTCAAATTTCATCCCAGAATAGTTCCATAATAACTTGCATCGGCACTACTTCTTCAAGCGGTTTAGTCGATTTGATTGATCTTACAATGGACAATCATGAAAACGTGCCCCCGAGAACGCTGGTTAACAATGTTCGCAATGGTAATTTCATCCCACCTCGAAAGAATGTAGGCGGTCGTCCGAGACTCGCATTAACTCCCCTAACAAATGGTAAATAAATTAAATTATCAGATTTATAATTTAGGTTTTATGACTTTGAAAAGAAAGTATTTAATATTTAATCAAATAAATAATGATATAATTTATAATAAAAAAATCTAATATTTTATTTTCACGCAGTGCATTCGTCAAATTTGCCACCTCGGATCAACGTAGGCGGTCGTCCGAGGCGCGAATTACCACTCCCTACAAATGGTATTTCTAATTGCTTATCAAATTATCTAATTTATTCGTTAATTAAAAAAGTTTCTCATTTACATTTATATATTTATTTTGGTTGTTTATAATAACGATCCATTGTTTTGCAGTATCGTCATTAAACTTGTCACCTCGGACGAATGTAGGTGGACGTCCGAGGAACTCACCCCCTCTACCCATATATGAGGATGTTTTGTCTGCTTTTGTCCGTAGTCAAAATATTTCTCGAAGGCCCATTGATACCCGAGGCTCATCTACATCTGTTGGTTCTTCCAACTCATCCATCAACAACGGTAATTATTTACTTATGTTTACCGAATATTTTAATATCATTTTCTCATTTTTTTTTTAAAAAAATGTATTGTCAATACTTTGTAGGATATATAGTTAATTATTTGTAATTAATTATTATATTCTTAATTATTATAATTTACAGAATACTGGGATATTGGCGATCCTTCGTACCGTTGCCTTCACTGTGGTGCCAGATTTTGGTACGCCGAGCGACTGGGAAAGCCTTCTAACCCCACGGTTCCAAAGTACTCTACCTGTTGCAACCACGGATTCATCGAACTTCCACCTGTTTACACTTCTCCGCCATTTCTGCGTGAGCTGATATTTGGCACAAGTCCACGAAGAAAACACTTTCAAGATAACATTCGGTCCTACAAGAACATGTTCTGTTTTACATCCATGGGAGGGAAGATTGATAACAGCATCAACAACGGAACCGGCCCGCCAGTATTCCGTTTGCACGGTCAAAACTACCATTTAATGGGTAGTTTGTTACCCGACCATGGTGCTACTCCCAAATTTGCTCAATTGTACATCTATGACACGGAGAATGAAATATCGAACAGACTATCATCTGTGAGGTATATATATTATATTTTGTCGTTAAAATTATTGAGTTACATCGTAATATTAATTTTATACATTTTATTTAATAATTAAAATTGCAATTATTATTTTTTATTTTTTCAGGAGTGGTTCTGAAAGAAATGATCTTGATGGTGAAGTAGTGCTTGGTTTGAAAGAGATGCTCGATCATTACAATGTTTTGGTTAAGTCGTTTAGAATGGCGCGGGAGAGGTTGAACCAACCCGAGCATCGCGAAGTTAAGATGCGACTTATTGGAAGAAGGAATAAGGATGGTCGACGTTATAATTTACCGTCCACTTCTAAAGTTGCAGCGTTAGTTGTTGGCGATTTCGATGATGCTATGGGCAGCCGTGATATTATAGTAGAAAATCGGAGCGGACGTTTGCAGCGTATCAACGAGTTGAACGCTTCCTACTTGGCTCTCCATTATCCTATTCTTTATCCATACGGCGAGGATGGTTACAGGGAGGACATTCCATTTTCAGTCCTAAAATCGATTACGAAGAGGTCGAGAAAATTCATCAGTTCGCTAGAGTTCTTCAAATATCGAATGCACGACCGTGACAACGAATTGTCTTCCATCCTCTCGGCTCGGAGGTTGTATCAACAGTTTGTTGTGGACGCGTATACAATGGTTGAAGGAGCTCGGCTAAGATATATCTGTTTTAACCAAACGAAACTTAGAACTGAATTGTACAGCCGTCTGAAGGATGCTGTGTTGCGAGGAGACATCGATCCTGGTTCTCAAGGCATACGGATTATACTGCCTTCGTCCTTTACGGGTGGCGCGAGATATATGATTGAGAACTATCAGGACGCGATGGCCATATGTCGGTGGACCGGTTATCCTGATATATTCTTAACCTTTACTTGCAACCCTAAGTGGCCAGAAATCGGTCGTTTTCTCGATAACAAGAATCTCAAACCCGAGGATCGTCCTGATATAGTATGTCGGGTATTTAAGGCTAAGTTGGACGCTTTGATGAGGGATGCCCGTCATAACAAGATGTTTGGTGACGTGAAAGCAGGTAATTAATATTTGTTAATTTAATTTATTTAAATTTATAATATTTTGTGTTCATTGTATTTTTTTTTTTTACTTTTTTTTTGCAGCTATATACACGATTGAATTCCAAAAACGTGGACTTCCGCATGCCCATATATTGATATTCTTGGCCAAAGAACACAAAATTCAGACCACTGATGGCATAGACAAAATAATATCTGCCGAAATACCGGATGAGGCCACCGATCCCTTATATTATGCTGTCGTTAGAGATCATATGATGCACGGCCCTTGCGGAACTGTCCGCCCACAATCTCCGTGTATGGTTAATGATTGTTGCACAAAGCATTTCCCAAAGAAGTTCTCTGAAACGACGACCCTGGATGAGGAAGGCTATCCACGGTACAGGTGTCGTGATAATGGCAGGACCATAGAAAAGAACGACATTAGCTTAGATAACAGATATGTTGTGCCTCATAATAGAAAATTGCTCCTTAAGTACGGTGCGCACATAAATATAGAATGGTGCAACCAGTCGAGGTCCATCAAATATTTGTTCAAGTACGTGAACAAGGGGAATGATCGTGTCACCGCCACCTTTTACGAGTCAAATGGAGCTGAGTCATCTAGCAGGCTGGTTGACAAGGTGAAAATGTACTATGATTGTCGGTATGTTTCATCTTGTGAGGCTGCATGGCGGTTGTTGAAGTTTGAGATTCAGTTCAAATGGCCATCAGTGGAGCGCTTGAATTTTCACCTCGAAAACGAACATCCTTGCTACTATGATGATGAAGTTCCGATCGATCAAGTGGTTGATAAAAATAAAAAGTGCGATAGCAAATTCTTGGCTTTGATGGAGGCCAACAAGAAGTATCCCGCTGCTAGAGAACTTACATATGTCGAGGCTCCCACTAAATTTACGTGGCACTCGGAAACACAAATTTGGGAGCCTAGGAAAGGAAGCGATCGGATTGCGCGACTGTACTTCGTCCCCCCCGGAGCTGGAGATATATTTTACTTGAGGTGCCTTATCAATGTTGTTCGGTGCAACATGCCATCGTGATTATATGAAGTTGAATGGTGTCCAACACGATTCGTATCGCGCAGCGTGTTTTTCCCTCGCTTTGGTGGAGGACGACAAAGAGTATATAGAAGGCATTATTGAGGCAAGCCAATGGGCGACCGCAAGTTCATTGAGGGCCCTTTTTGCAACTCTTCTTTCCTCCGATACTCTTGGTCGACCGGAGTTTGTGTGGGACGCATGTTGGCATTACCTATCGGATGACATACTGCACAATCGTCGGAGGATTTTACACCATCCAGGTAACAAATACAATTGTTTTGTATTTATTTATTATATTTACTTATTATATGTTTTATCTCTGTAATTAAATTTTTTTTGTACTTTCATTGTTACTGAATTGGTGATGAGAGATGAGGAAATAAAGAATCTCGCTTTGGCAGAGATCGAAAAGATTATGCGGCGACGTGGGATGAGTTTACGTGACTATGGTACAATGTCATTTCCTGTTCTCGATCGTAATGAGGCGTCCACGAACAGACTTGTGATGGACGAGTTGAATTATGATCGTCGTGCACTATCGATTGAGAATGAGCAATTGGTTGCCAACGTGACTGATGAGCAGCGCAATGTTTATGACTCAATTATGGACTCGGTCTACTGTAGCCACGACCACATCTTTTTTGTTTATGGTTACGGTGGCACTGGTAAAACATATATCTGGAGGGCGTTGTCTTCTGGTTTGAGGTCGAAGGGCGAAATCTTGTTGAACGTTGCATCGAGCGGTATCGCGTCACTTTTGCTTCCCGGCGGCCGGACTGCCCATTCACGCTTCAGAATCCCGATAAACCCAACTGAAGGGTTGACATGTGACATTAGCCAGCAGAGTCCATTGGCTGATCTAATTGTACGATGTCGGTTGATCATTTGGGAAGAAGCCCCGATGATGAATAAGTATTGCTTCCAGGCAGTTGACAACACGTTACGAGCCTTAATGCAAGTGGTGGATCCATCGAGGAAAAATCTCCCTTTTGGCGGGAAGTCTGTTGTATTTGGTGGCGATTTCAGACAGATTCTCCCTGTTGTGCCTAAAGGCACTCGGAGTGATATAGTGAATGCGACCATCAATTCGTCCAGCTTATGGAGAGATTGTATCGTTTTGAGACTTACTCAGAACATGAGGCTTCGAAGCCTTGGTGGGGGCGGTGAGTACGATGAGTTGAGGCTTTTCTCGGAGTGGCTTGCAAGCATTGGCGACGGTACTGCTGGTGGACCGAACGATGGATGTGTTGACATCGACATTCCCGACGACATTCTTCTGAAATCACAAGGTGATCCTATCGCTTCTATTGTGGAGAGTACGTACCCAATGTTTAGGAGTTCGGGCGACGATCTTAGCTACTTGAAGGACAGAGCTATACTCGCTCCCACTCTTGATGTTGTTGAGTCCGTCAATGAGTACATGAGCTCATTGAACAGCTCCGAGGGAAGAACTTATTTGAGTTCGGACAGTGCTTGCAAGTCAGATGCTGGATATGACTATCTTCACGATCTTCACACTCCTGAATTTCTCAATGGGATTAAGTGTTCCGGACTTCCCAACCATAAATTGCACTTGAAGGTTGGCACTCCAGTGATGCTCCTCAGAAACATTGATCACTCCATGGGGTTATGCAACGGTAATGTTGATTAAAATTCGATATATTATGTATATTTTATTTTATTTTATGTACAAATTCGAGTTATTTGTTTTTGTTCTCCAAATTATGATTTCAACAGGTACTCGATTGATTATTACTAAGCTCAGCAACCATGTCCTAGAATGCAAAATTTTAACCGGTGCCAGAGCTGGTGATAAGGTTCTTATTCCTAGGCTCACGATCATACCATCCAATTTGAGGGTACCGTTCAAATTTCAGCGCAGGAAATTCCCCCTAATGGTTTCCTATGCTATGACAATCAATAAGAGTCAAGGTCAGTCACTGTCGCATGTCGGCTTACTATTGAAAAGTCCTGTATTTAGTCATGGGCAATTATACGTGGCGCTTTCTAGAGTAACGAGTCGGAGGGGCTTGAAAATTCTAATTTGTGCTGATGGAGATTCTGGCGATAATAAAACCACGAACGTTGTATATAAGGAAGTGTTTAATAATATTTAGATTTTTTTTCTTGGGCTTTTATCAAGTGATTGTGTTATTATTTTTCCTATTGTCTACAATTTATTGTATTTTTTTCCTCTATCACATAGCTTTCTGTGAAAATGAAAATTAATTGACTAGCTCTCCGTGCAAATGCACGGGTTGCAACTAGTAGTATATATAGGAGGAGACCTACAATACTAATCAATCATACTCACATATTTAATGTTATAACCTAATTTAGTGTCCAAGTCAAACATCACAAATTATACTATTAGAACATTAATAATCTATTAAATACGTATTTACCTTAATTAAGTTTGACTATTAATACAATTAAATCCAACTAATTATATGATTCACATTAATAGAAGAATAAAATATTCTTACAAAACCTGGAGAGCTGAGATTGTTGTGGTGAACATAGCTTTGGAGGAGTGGCTGGAATTCAATAAGGTGCAAGGTTTTGAGTGCTGATTTGGCTGTGTTGCTTTTGCAGTGATGTTGGGTAGTTTTCTTTTGTCTTCTTGTTGTTTCTGTTGATTAGGTTGGTTTTCTTTTGGTAGTGTTGTTCAGTTAGTAGCAGTTGGTGGCCTTCCTTTGTGTTGTTGGCTTGTTTTGTAGTAGTTCAACTTGACTAGGGTGTGAGCCAGTGGTCAGGTTGCTTTTTGTGTTTTGCATAGATAACAACATTTTCTTGGGTTCTAAGTTTGCATTAGCCAAGGAATATGGTCTCGTCTATGGGCTGTTTCTATTTTTTAGAACAGGGTGTTCTCTCTTCCAACCTGTTGGTTGTGTATTGGGCTATTTAGCCCCACCTTATGTACAAATGTTTGGAGCTATAACTCCTATCGTTTTGGAAAAAAAAAAAAGAACACAGAACAGAGATTGGCAGCGCTCAAAGACAAAGGAAAAAGAAAGATGAACCAATGGAATATGATGGGACCAAGGACATTCATACCAATTGATATAGCACAAGAGAGCAATTTGGGTAGACCGGCAGAAATCAGCTCGGTTTTATGAGTCGGGGGGATGCTGGTAGGTTTGTTGGTCGGGCAGATGCAATAGTCTAGCAAGGTGTAGGTTCGTACCAGTAACAGCATGTGTGGGCTCGGCCCAATAACGGCTCGGCCAGATGCATGGGCCAAACAGGTTAAAGAGGTGGGCTGTCACTTAAATGGGCTGGCACATTAATGAATGGAATGAAGATGAAAGCGTGCAGAGGAGGCTAGAGAATTACATATATATAGGTGAATCAGGTATGACGGTAAGGTCGAAGTTATTACTTCACAAAAACCCTAATATACAAACTGAGCTTTCCTCGATACCCTACTAACTTGAGCGTCAGAGGTTTACCACTGGGAACACTTCCCGGCGTCTTTGCAGGTTTTTGGAGGGCTCAAGTGGGTGGAGACCAAGGAAGGCCGGTCAAGTGTGCAATAGCACATCAATTGGCGCCGTCTGTGGGACTTACTATTTTCTTCTACCGATTGAGGATACGAGGATGACGAACACGATCACGGATGAGCAATCAAGGAATTGAGGATACAAGGATGACGAACATGATCGCGGATGAGCAATCAAGGAGGAACTTGAATGATAGTTTAGATGGGGCATGGGTAGCGAAGACGCCCTATGGTGGAGGGTTGCCGAATGGATGAATTGTCAGAGAGAGCTCCATGACTACGCCCTCTATTACGATACAAGGGGCACCCCCAGTTCCCCCATCGAATCGGGAGTAGGGGTTGGCGACCCAGGGAGCGGGTCATAAGATGGTGATACGAACATCGGTGCCAGACATAGTGCCGGAGGGTGGAGGGTCGGTGATACAGATGACTAGAGGAGAGTTGGATCGCATTGTCG